TTGACAGGTCTCTACCAGAGACGTATACGGCGTCTCTACGTCACTTCCTGTTCACTGGGTGCAAAAAAAAACAACATGGCGATGACCAAAACCTGGAAATCAAGACAGACAGACAGCAGCTCACAAAACCTAGAAGTTTTCAATGTTTTGTCTCTTTGTATATGCTTGGCTTCGGGTCTCGGGTCCCCCCCCCAGGGCTCCACAGTGATATCCAGTAAAATGAGTCTTTGCCAAACAAACAGACCAGCAACAATATTGAGAGCTTCTTTTCTGTCCACAGACGTTATTTCCCAGAGGACAATGGAAATTAAAAAAAGAGAAACATTGACCCATATCAGCCACAAAAACAACAGCCCCCCCCACACACACACGCTAATAACCCTCCATTAAGTTCTCACAATCAGCTTTTAAGCAGCGACACTTCAGTCGGGTGAAGACGGAGCGATAATCCTCCGTGAGCGCAGTGACGTCACATGACTCATCTGATGTCAGATCTCGTCAGCGACGTCTTGCAAACATTTCGCTAATTAAGCGGCAACGTGACCTCGTGGCCCACGGGCAGCGACCTAAATGAGAGAACAAACAAGTCCATGTTCTTTTGACGAAGAAATGGAGAAGTACTTCATAAAACAATGTATAAATAATGTATAAACGTATAAATAATGTATCAACAACGTAACAACGTATAAACAATGTATAAATAATGTATCAACATATAAACAATGTATCAACATATAAACAATGTATAAATAATGTATAAACAATGTATAAATAACGTATAATGTATCAAAAATGTATAAACGTATAAGTAATGTATCAACAACGTATAAATAATGTATAAACGTATAAGTAATGTATAGATAATGTATGAACAATACATAAACAATGTATAAATAATGTATAAACAATGTATCAACGTATAAATAATGTATCAACGTATAAATAATGTATAAACGTATAAGTAATGTATAAACAACGTATAAGTAATGTATGAACAATGCATAAAAAATGTATCAACGTATAAACAATGTATAAATAATGTATAAATAATGTATAACCAATGTCTCCTAATTCTTATTGCTGCCAAACTGAACAGCAGTTTCACATTCACAAACATTCTTTAAATGATCATGTTTATACATACTTTATATTTATAAGCTACTGACGAATGAACTGAATAACCCTCCACTCACTCGTCCCTTTCCAAGCATGGTTGAGAACTACAGTGGCCTTCAGGTAACGTAACAACACAAACCAACACTGTCCATTCTGGGCTACTTCAGAAACATGGCAGACTCCGTGCTCATTCTAATGTATCAAAAACACAACATTCATATTTTCAGGTTATTATATATTAAAGAAAAGACTTTATATATATTATATTCCAATTTCTGGAATAAAAGAGTGGGTGTGCGTTCTAGTGAGAGACTGCGCTGAATGTGTAACTATGAAAAAAAAGAAAAAGAACAATGAGCACAATTTAACAAATCTTGAGTCCTTTTCTGTCTTTTACAATTTGTACCTCAGGAGTTTGTTTCTCAATCCATGTACTCTTGCAGAGGCTTGTTCTGGTTTGATCTTCATCACCACTCGCTGGAGAAATTCGAAGGAATACTTCATGGCTTGTGGATACTCAAAATTCACAGAGTATATAATGCCCATAAGCATGGCAAAGCTGCATGGCACATCTTTCATGTTATGGAGCACAATTGTCTCCTCGACCACAACTGCGACGTTGAAGACCTCGCCTGGAACTGCATCCCGTTTCCGGACCTTCATAGCCTATCAGAAGGCCAACTTGCATCCCCTTCATGGCTGCATCCAGAGTCTCACCATGAGCCTTGAAAAGTAGAAATAATAGTGTTTGACCTTTTACATCTTTAAGTACGTATGCTCTACAAGCAGTGAGGGAAAGTAACTAAGTGCATTTACTCAAGTACTCCACTTAAGTATAATTTTGAGGTACTTATACTATACTTGATTATTTACATTTTATGTTACTTTCTACTTCTACTCCACTAAATCTTAGAGGTAAATATTGTACTTTTCACTCCATATATTTCATAAATTTAGTTACCAGTCACTTTACAGATTATTATTCAGTGTGGCTTTGGAGCACAAAGGCAGTACAACTGCCTGTGCCAAAGCACACTGTATATAATCCATCGGGCTTGATGATACTAATAATAATAATAATAATAATAATAATCTTTATCCAGAAAGTTTGGCGCGCTTCTCCTCACACAGCATTGTCAACACCTGCACAAAAAATACATCAAAACGTGCGGCCTGATCGGGAGTCATGCGCTAAGTGTTCGGATGTTCGCAAACTCCTTTTTTATTTATCTATGAACAGCCTGTGCTCAAATTGAGGGTGACTTACCTGCTCTAGTAGAGAGGCAACAAACTTCTTACCGTCATTATACAACCTATAGAACATGTTATTCCATCTTCACATGAGTAAAACAACGATGTCGACTTTGCCGTTGAGGTGATTTAAAAAAAAGAAAAGAAAATTCAGATTCCTCAATGCATCAGAGGGCCTATATAATATCTGACAACACAATTATGTTAAAATCTATACATGTAATCACAGTTTTGCATTAAGGAAATACATAATGTCTTACGTCACACATGATCTTCGGATATGTAATGTGGCAGGCCAAGCAAAGCAGCAGTCCTCCTTTCATTTGTGTCCTACAAGACCGAGAAATATGCAGTGAGATGAAAATGTTGTAGCACACACAGCATCAATTTACAAATAATCAGCAACCCCTTACATCTTTCTCAAGACAGTTCAAAATGTCTTTGAGTGCCTGCTTCATTCCAGACATGGTTGCAGCTTTGTAGACCTCCAGCAGTCTTGGGACCAGGCCATCAAGTCCGTCAAGAAAACACTCGAGAAGGTCTGTGGTGACGACTCTCTTGAATTCTGCCCTTATCTGAGGAGACGCAGACAGATAGTAAATACTAGTCAAACAACATTTCTGAATAGGACACGCAGTTTACACAGTAGGACAAGCAGTGCGACTGCCTACCTGTCTCTCAAGGAACAGAGCTGGCCATCTGGAAAGGACCTCTGCGACGAGTGGCTGATCTCCAATAATCTCTTTTCGGTGCTGGGGAAACGTAGCTGTCATCAGGTGTTCCACCAGCTGGTGATCAGGGTCTTTTTTAAGCATTTCCACCTCCAACATCTTTCGCTTTTCCTCCATGTTTTCAGAACTCTGTCCTTCTGGTGAATCTGGACAGTAGTTGACCTCACCTTTCTTTGACTTCTCAACACGTTTCCCCTTTGCATCGCCTCCCATTCTTTTGTTGATTACCACCTCCGGATAGCCTGCAGCAGCAATATTGTTTTATGTTGCTTGGTGCTGAAAAATTACAAAGTTCACAGCGAATTTTAGCAACTGGACTGGTTACTTTCTTGTGCTCCTTTATATGCTGCGAAAATTCCACATGGGATTGGAGATATGTTAGACAGTTTGGGTATATACAGCTGAAACCCCGTCTTCCACGTCCATGATTGGCATCGGCACCTGAAACACAGAAAATCAATCAATATAACACGATATAGCAAAACCTTTAGTCATATGAACTGCAAACTTCATTAAGAGAGTAAAATGCACACAATAATCAGATAACAATGAGCTTCTAATCAATTTATGATCTTAGGATCCGAGGTAGTTTCCATAACCTATGGTTTTTTAAATTAACAAAATCATAAGAAACTGAGGGAATTTGTCATTTATACTAGATTTTTTTTCCTAACTGTATAATTGATGAATAACTTAAACAGGCACAATACATTTTTTTTATTCACCACTTTACAATGTAGCCAATCAATGTTACACTTTAACTTTAAACCATTAGTCCAGACAGTGTCATTACATTGTATATTCAGCATTTTACTGTATTCTGAATAACTAACATGTTATATTTTATTCTTATTTTTCATTCCTGCACTATATTTAGGCATAGAATATCTACTTTTTTAAAAATATCTTATATTTTAGCGTGAGCATTGTTGAAGGTGCCAGAGGTTCAAGACTTTAATTCATGAGCAGGAATGACATTAAAATAACTTGACCCGTGGTGGAAAGCCCGGTGGTGGGGGAGATTTTAAAAAAGCTAGAGTGGCGCGAACACAGATAGCTCGCTAAAGTACGCTACTAGCTAACTAGCTAGCAAGCTAATTATCTTCACAACCATGTAGGTTAAGCTACACCACCTGCGCTGAGTTACTTAGCTAGTTCCCGTTTCCGAGTGGCCGTGTTTAGCCAAAAGCAGTTTAAGAAGCTGGCAAGCAGAAATTTAAACAGATTAAAATATTCTATTTAATTGGGTTTCAAATGTACTAGTTGCTGACATTTTAGCCAGACCACAAATAGTCCATAAGCTTACGGTAGCCAACTGTCTGGAGACCGCCATGTTGCTAAACGTCGGCTAAGTTACATTGAGAAGCTGCCCAAAAACATTAGCTTATTTAAATTACATTTTTCTAAATGCCCTCTGAAACATTCTTGATAGGACTTCGTACACTATTGTTCATTAACCTTATATCGTGTTCGGGTCCAATTAGACCGGTTATGAGGATTTACACGGCTCAAATGTGACCATTAAAAACGAACTTTAACGCTAGACTGTTTGCCATATTGGACCAACTGCATTACACTTTAAGCGTTATGCATTTACAGACAATATAATAACATGACAGCAGATACTTTCTTTACATTTACTAATTGGGTTGACTGATATTGCTGACGCATCCACTCACCTCACTTCGCCTTTGTCCTTCCGAGCCGTCGCGCCGCTTGTCAATGGTCGGTTGGTTGACGTTCATCGTCTCGCTGGCTAACCATATTCATCCGCCGCTTGGTTCGCTGAACCGACGTACTGCGTGGTCAGGTTCAGGTCACGTTCGTGATCCGGCTGCCAAAATGTAGTCCGCCGCGTGGTTTAGGTTAGTTCGCCGTCTGGTATTTACATAGGTTGGTGACGCAGCTGAGCAGACAGACAGCTTGCGACCTGCTACGGCACCCACCTGTCACTCAAAGCGGCCACGCCCTCGATTATGCATAACTTTCAGCCTCAATATAATTTAAATGGATTAGTTATATACAAGTCACCTCTGTACAGTTCATGAAGGGGCAAATTAACTGAAGAGACCAAGAAGATACGTTTTTTTGTAGCAAGCTGTATGCATTTGTATTTCTGCTTAGAAGTTAGACAATTTAACATGGGGTCCTATGGAAATTGAATCGCTTTTAAAGCCTCAAGTGGCCGTTTTAGGAACTGCAGTTATAGGCACTTGTTTTAGACTGTTAGACATAGCCATACTTATAACTCACAGTATTCAGTTCATTTGACTTCTTCAAATTTACATTTCATTGAACTGGCTTAAATACCTGAGTTGGAGTACCGAAAACTTATACAATTGAGTTAAAATTGTATAAATCATCATGATAAGTTGAAGTAAATGACAGAAAGAAGTTACCTTGACTTATTGTTCAAATCCTTTTTTACAGTGTATATATATATATATATATATATATATATATATATGTATATACATATTCCTTTTTAATTCCTTTGTTTAGATTCTGGATCATTAGAAGATGTTCAGGCTGCAGCTCACGACTCATTTGATTAATATTATATTGAATAATCGGTTGATTATTACTTGAATTTAGTTTTTTTCTAGTGTTATATATAAAGTAAAGGTGTTCCATGTCTTCTTGTACATTGCTCTTTCACTACAGTACAACATGAACTAAATGGACTTTAGAGACGCAGCCGAGCTCTGAGAATAAAAGGGAAATGTTTCTGTCGTATTGGAACGTTACTAATAACATTTACTCAAGTGCTGTACTTATGTACAGTTTTCAGGTACTTGTACTTTACATTTATCTCTTTCTGGCCATTAGCTATCGGGGGCGTGGCTACATTCACCCGTCACCTACCGGAGAGAGAAGAGGGCTCTTCTGACCGTTTTTAAACTAGAGCCTTTAATGGTGTGTTTGCTGCCTCAGCACTTTTCCCTGCTGTAAGGAGACAGCATCATCTCTGTGATCATGTGATCATCACACCTCAACACGTTGCTACAGCAACACCACGAGCATCTCAACATCGACCCGACTCATCGAACTATTTACATCACGGATTGTAATCGATTAGTCGTTGCAGCTCCATTCCTCACTCAACCAATTCATTGAGAGAATAATCAGAGGGGCAACATATTTAAACATGAATCAGTTATTGCAGGAAGCCACTAATGTGTCCCTTGACACATTAAATATCTATTTCTTGTTCCCAGCATGTTTTTTAAATCATACCTCTTCTTTTCCTTCCTATGATTTTCATCTCCTTTATTCATCTCCTCATTTCTACTCTTCTTCCTCTCCTCCGTCATTATCTTTGTTCTCTCTGATGTTCATCTCATCCTGTATCCTTCTCTCCTCCTCTCCTCCTCTCCTTCTCTCCTTCCCTCCTCCGGTTCACTATCTAACGTGTGCAAAGAGATACTCGGCGGTAAATTGATGATGGAGTGATACAAATAGTTTAGACTTCCTCCTGAAATGTGAAGTCCACAGTAGAGCCTCTTCTGGATCAAACCGCGCAGAACTTGACCAACCTTCAGACACCCGTCTGAGATCGATCGAAGGCGGTCTGTTGCTCTAATTGAACGCTCCCACAGGTCGAACTGCGAAACCGTGGAAAACCCAAACACGTGAACCGAGACGAGCGGGGGGCCGCGGAGGAGAGCTCCTCGCTGGCTGGAGTCCAGTCAGCGTTTTCAAACCGTGCTGCTCTCCACAGCGGAGGAAGCTGAGCTGGCAGCAACACGCTCTCCCTCTTTTAATCCTCACTTTAACTATTCAGGTTCTGCCTGCTCGCATGTTCCAGAGGAGATCCCCCCCCACACACACACACACACACACACACACACACACACTCCTCGCGTCTGAAAATGTCTTCAGAGTATCCCGGGAAACTTGTACAGCCTGCAGGAAAAGCAGTCTGTGTGATAAACACTTTGCTCGCTTTGCAGCAGCTCATCTTTTGCTTCTCTTCGTGCTGCCGCTGAGCTTCTGAATTTACAAATCCTGCTGCTCACCCTCCAGGTGTTACACGGTGAAGGCCTTGAATATATCGCTGAGTTACTGTCCCCGTTATCGTAATGTGAGACCTGTAAGGTCCTCTTATCGAGTGCAGGTGCTTGTCCCTGGGTGAGGCTCAATCCAGGCATGTTGTAGCGGGGCATTTTCATATTTCTGTGACTTTAAATGGTATGACTGCTGCACGTCTATGAAGCGCAGTGGTGACAATATTCCTACCTGCAGCTGCTTAAAGCCATCTGGATCCTAGAGCTGAACACCTTCCTCCAGGTGATTCAACATGACAACAGTGAAACCAGTCAGAACAGGGTCTATCAGGACCGAGGCAGGGTTCCTCTTGATCATGAGTACTGAACCTTTAACTGGCTCCAGCAAACACTTTTTTACATGCAAAGTATTTTAGGAGTATTTTATCTAACAATGTGTTTCTGTCATGGTCCGAGTAATACTTGTGTCTAAAGTGCACTGAAGTAGCAGATCACATGACATGTTTAAGACTGAGAATACAAACAAACACTGATTTACTTAAACGTCTTGTACCCATCAGACTCTGGCAAAGACGAGTGGAAACACTGTTCATTTAGACTTCAGTCGTGACTTCAGTGCTTCATGGCTCCTGCTTTGTTGCTTGTGGACATCCTCAGGCCATGACTGTTATCAAGCATGGCAAGTTTGGGACAGATTTGAGCAAGTCCAGTGGAGTTACATCAGCTTGATGAGCCACGGCTACACCATTACACCAAACGTAAAGCTTTTCATAACTTTTAGTCGCAAAGGTCTTTAGATTGTATTCACCAAATTTGAAGTAGATCTGATAACTTCCCTAGCAGGAGTTCATTAAAGTATCCTGCCAAAAAAAAAGAGAAAAATGGCCTAAAATTTCACAAAATGGCCAAATTACTGTCGCGCCCCCTGTTGGTTGAATTGAAATTGATTGGAATGAAAATTGGAGTGTCTGTTTCAGGTCTTAATGTGGACATATGTTGCACATTTTGTGTTGATAGGCCCGATGGTTTTGGAGTTACGTGTAATAATGTGCAAA